GTGGGGCTGAGCGAACTGGCGCCCTGAGAAGACAGCCTATTGGCTATACTACTACACCAACATGATAAAAGTAACGAAAGTGAATGCAAATATCATTCTGGTGAGTTCAAAACACTTTTCAAAGTAAAACCATTATTAGCATATAATTAACATTGATTATTTTTCAAAATTATAAATTATAATATATATTAAAAAAACAGACAGACAGGTCGGAGGGAGGGCGGCGCCCCAGCGCCCTCTATGGGCGAGCCGCCCCTGCTACTAACCCTTTGTAGAACTCTCAAACACTTTCTGTTACTAACATTTGTAATTAATGTATTTTCACATATGGTGAACATGATAACAAGAAATAGTGATACCAACCAGTACAACATGTTACAACCATAGACTGTAAGGTTATAACCAATCGTTTATGTAAAGGTTTACAACCAGGCATATGTGCTTCTGCATCAGTGTTGTTGGCCTATCATCTTCCTTTGATTTTCGGATTAGGTTATGGTTTGGTTAGATCAGCTTTTTTGCCCTCAAGGGGCAATTTGTTTCACAAAAACCTGGTTAGGGTTAGGCTCCATATATATATGATACAAAGAGAAAAAAGTTGGTAATCTTGTCAGGAGCTCCATCTGGTGGTCATTTGTAATAGTTTATTCAGTATGTTAGATGAATATGAAGTTTGCTGTTAATGGGCTTTTACACGATAGAAAACAAAGTCATGTTATGTATTTCACACTGGAAAATTATGTCAGAAATAGCCAACCAAAAAAACTTGTTCGATATTTAAGAAAAAAACATAGATTCTGATATATTTTAAATTATTTTTGGGTGAACTAACCCTTTAAAAATGCTAAATGGGATGGCATACTTGTAGATCTAAGTCCACGAGACTGAAAGTCCGCATGAAGTGCGCCATTTGGGACAGGGGGCCACTATGCATTGTGAGTGCTTTGATGACTCAGCGGTGTCTCATAATTATTCATAAGACTAATTTTTCTTATCCTATGAGAAGATACTGTTTCTTAATTATTCCTGACACCACGTGGATTTTTCCAATGACATGTCAAAACCATAGGTCAAAACTGATACCGCGCTGTGCAGTAGATGAGCAAAAGTTCCAGTGCGTTGCATATCTTTCCCCGCGATGCTATCAAAGCTAGACTCTGGCTGCGGTGGTTGGCCGGCCATATCGAAACTAATGTGTGTGTAGCAAGCATTTTTATTGCGAGAGAGCTTCAAGAACTGGAGAATGGTGGACTTCGGCCTTGTTCACCAATCAAAGTTGCGTCTTGCTAGTGATGCGGTACCAAGTCCCGAGGACTATCCCTTCAGAGGTGGTGTTTGTGGCTAAAATTTAACCCTGTCTAAAATGTAACTCTGAAAATGTACTTTTTCATTCAATTAATTTTCATTTTTGGATGAACTATCCGAGGGTAACAATTACCACTACTTGAAACAAGAGTATGTTTCCCCAATATTTAGCTACGCAAAAGTTGCAATTGTTTTAGTTTTCTGTTCACTTAAAAAAATTTACTTTATACATGCATTATGCATGTATAGTACCATAGTATGATAGTACCCTGTAATTTTTAAAAATGTTATACCGTTTGAATTGTACACCATTATTACAAAAAGGTACACAGTTTATGTTCTTGCTAAATTGCTCCCAAATGTGATTGTTGTAGCCTATGTATCGCTTTAATTACGTATAGCCTACTTTCCGGCCTGTAATCCAAAGCGTTACCATTTTATGCATCTATAGTGAACGTTACAAATGATGAAGGATGATTATTAATTAACATAGGAATTATTTAGTCTTAAAGTTTGTTTAATTCACTTACTGATTTATTTATTTATTTATTTATTTTGCAGTCAAAATCCTGTATTTCAATAGAAATCCATGTGATCTGCAAATTCACATGAGGATGAAGTATTTCCTCATGCAATTTTGGTTCAGTTTTGGTAATGCAAGGTTCAGTTTGGCATGTGACTTCGCCGTGTTGACCAATAGAAAGCTGTTTGATTGGATAGTTGCTTGGCTTCTTTTTGAGCTATTTCATATTTGGGCCTGTGCAAATGCCCACCCTTGCAGTCTTTGCACTTGACCACTTGTCTACTTAAAGTACATGACGTGTTTCCTGTATTTGGCCCAAGTGTTAAAGTAGACATGAAGACTGTAAGTGTGTGTGTGTGTGTGTGTGTGTGTGTGTGTGTGTGTGTGTGTGTGTGTGTGTGTGTGTGTGTGTGTGTGTGTGTGTGTGTGTGTGTGTGTCTGTGTGTCGAACTTTGCCCAATAAGACACACTTATAGTGTTGCAAAAATGCACGTGTTTACAGAGCTTTTTTATTTTTAATACTTGCCATTTTAAAATAAACTTCTAAATGTCTTTTCAGTAGGCCTAGTCCTTATATGTAACAAAATGCCAATTAAAAATTTTTGTGCTTCTAATTAAGTTATAAAAAGCAGTAGCAAATGTTGTACAAAATACACAGCCGACTCATCTTTGAAAAAATGTAGCCTACAACATTTTGTGCAACACTTTGTTTTACTACCAAATTATATAATATCTAATCAAACTTACAGTGGAATGTTTTCCTCAACATCTCATGATTTCGGGTCACACGAGTTCCCTTTGTGAAGCTTTGAATACCGCTCTGAAGCAGTATTCGAGATAGTGTGGATTTAGTGTGCGTTCAGGGCACTGTACTTTGGCATTTTTTTTAAACATGGGACAGTCATGAGCACACACATCCTGTCGCTTGCACACGCTCTCAAGTGGCCAAGACCGCAAGTGTGGGTATTTGGACAGTCCATTTGTGTTTCATAGGCTACATTAACAACAGACAACTTTTTTTGCAAATGTTTCTGCACCTTTATGTAACAAATTTAGGAAAATGTTTACACCAAGGACGATAACTAGGAATTGTTCTTGGTGTGAATGGGCCTTAAAGGGGTGGTTGATTGTGATTTCACTTTTTTCATTTTAAATTGTGTGTATGCTAATGTTGCTGTTGGTGGATGAACATCTGCAAAGTTGCAGCGCTGAAAGTTCAATTTAAGCAGAGATATCGTTTTTAAAATTCAGGAAGTAATGCCTACAAAAACGACTCGAATGGGACTACAATGAGATACTTCCCGGGTTTTATACGTAACTAACCCATAAATTTACATCAACCCTCCCTCCGTAATATGCAAAAAAGGAGGCATGGAAGAGTTAAAGTGGAGAGCTGTAGCCATATGCCGTCGAAAGTGTGTTATGTTCAGCCAGTTATCAGGTCTTCTGTGTTCGGGCTTCCCACGGATGCTGTAGTTCATCAACAATGGCTAAAATGTATGTTTGATTATGTTCCTGAACATTACAATCGTAATTTAGCTCTCTGTGCTGCGCATTTTACGAGAGACAGCTTCCAGAATCTCCATGAATTCAATGCCGGATTCAACAAGAAACTGTTACTAAAACATGAAGCAGTTCCAACTTTAAAACCAGAGGCAGCAGTTGTTGGGCCACAACCTGTAAGTAGGCTAAGACTTAATCATTTTAAATGTATTTGCATGTGTAATTTCAGATATAATGATTTAGTTTTTATCAAGGACGTAAACAAATGCCAGCGCTGGCTTTATTAGACACTTAGTTATGCTATTTCGTGTGTCTATGACAAACGCGTTCAAACATTTTGGACCTTAATTTTTTTTATTTATACAAATTTTGTAAATTTATTTTCCATGTATACTTTATGGCATAATTTTTCAGTTTGATCAAGAACGTAAACTAATGCCAATGCTGTTTGGTTATAGAAGCCAGTTAATTCGATGCTATTTTGTGTATAAGACAAACGTGTATAAAGCTGAAAAAATGATATGTGATTGCAACAGCAAACTTCAGCTGCTGTATAAAACAACTTTAAAAAAACGGTATTACTCAGTCATTTATTCAGTTAATATTAAATGTTTAATCAGGAGAAAACTGTATCTCAAAAGATAACAAGTAGCAGTAGGATTTGTAAGTAAAAGTCTATCGAAATTCTTATATAATAGTAGTATAATAGAGTAGAAAAATAATAATAAAATCTACCATTCAGAAGCGTTTTGTAAGAGCTGTGTTTGGGAAGGTTTTGCTTGATTCTCTTCATCGCTGCTTTCTTGGTCTGATTCTGGCTCAAGTTGATACGGCAGTATTGGCAACATTTATTTACATTTGACCAGAGCACAAGCAACTTTCACCCCTAAAGGTAATGGGCGAGAAGTTTCCGCAGTTTAGCCAATTACAACACACCGGCCCAACTAACCAATCTGAGCCTATTGTCTGTTTCTGAGGGAGTGGCTTCATTATCAACCGGCGGTCGTTCAAATTACAGAGAAAGCGGCTTACAATAAAGGTGAAATTTATGGAAAATAAGGCTTTAAAAAACAAACAAACATGATGACATGTTATATTGCACCCCATAAACACAATCATGCAAAGAAAAAAAGCAGTAAACCACCCCTTTAAGAGTTTTAGATCATTATACATTGTGCCATTTTTCATAATAAATTGAACAATCAAAAAATATTTACAAATCTATATTTCTTAGTCCTTGTTTGATACACGTGATGTAATCAAGATGGTCAATTATATTAAATCCTTAAAGCTACACTGTGTCTTTTTTACCCCCATCTAGCGGTGAAAAGGTATATGACCATCCAGTGAATAATAGTTTCAGTTCTTCTCAATTCCGATTTCGTTTTAACTCCTACGGTGGCCAATGTAGTCCAAGATTAACATGGCTTCCAGTTCGACCTCGCCCATGAGTGTTAACTCAAACGTAAACGCGAAAGGCGAAGCTTGAATTAACGGGTATGTCCCTCTTTGGCTAATGTACTTTCAAGATGGAGGGGCAACATGGCGACCAGCATTAGGACCCCTTGCCCGTATGTATTTTCGATGGCATATTATACACTCACGAGAATACTTTATTCCTTGAACGAAGTAAATATACATTAATGAGCACATATATTTTTGAAAGAACTAAGTGTTTTTAGCTAAGAATAAACTAAAAGAGTTACACAGTGTAGCTTTAACGTTGATCCGTTGAAGAAGTCTATTAGACAGCTGTGGTGAGACAGAATGTTTCTCCTCCGTTCAACTTCTTCTCTTCACTTTTGTCATCTCCTTTTTGTGTCTTGTTCTCTGCCAGTGTTTCTCCTGCCTTGTCATCCTCATCTATGTAAAGCAGAGGTTCCTGCTTCTCCCATTTCTTCGCCTCTTTAGTTCCTTCCCCACCCACTCCACAATTAGACATGTCAACTTCGTCCAGGGCGGCGAATGTGCTGAGCACCATATCGTCTCCATCCTTTTTCCCATCATCAGGCAGAAGACCCTCCTTTACTTCAGCGTCACATTCAACCCCCGCCTCCAGATTCACAGGCCCCGCCCATGCATCATCCTCCGCTCCTTTTTTCTTCTTGGAACGTTTACTTTGTCCATTTACGTGCAATGGGCCAAATGTCCGTGAGGTGTTTTTCTTTCGCCGTTGGACAAACAGAATCATGCCTACACATAGCACACAAATGACTGTCACACACACTATGATTATCAATAGCCAGTTTGTTTGAATGGGAAGAATACTTTGTTCGACATTTCCACTGGCGGTGACAGAGGTAGATTCGGTGGAGACCGATTCGTCATCAAACGTCGAGAGTGAGTGCCCTTCAGGAGTAGTTTGGGACAACTGTGAAGATGATGTTAGAGTTGCAGTGGAGGTTATTGTGCTGGTCTCCATGGGGTTGGACGGAAACGCAGTCCAGTCTGCAGTTTGTTGAAATGGTATGGATGTGGGATTGAGGGCTTCTGTTGAATCAGTAGACATACTATCAGCTGCTGTGGTGATTTCATTTGTAGGATGTTTTTTAGGACTGGTCAACTCAGAAGAAGTAAAGCCAACAGTCGTTTCATATTGACGTGTGCTTGGGGCTTCTGAAATTTCTGTTTCCATATTAGGAGGCACATTAGTGGTGATCACTGTGGTCTGCTCTGTTTGATTAGAAGCAAATTGTGTTGTTATTTGTTCAGTCTCAGTATTGAGTGGCATGTTCACAGCTGTGCTCAAATGAATAACAAGTGTGGGTTTTGCATGATACAGATCTGGTTTTGTCTGTAGTTCGGTGACAGTATTTGTGTCCAGCAGTGGTTCAGCAGTGCTGACATGATCAGTGGTGCTTTCAGATGTGAACAGTTCCTCCACAGTGTTGTTATTCGCTACTGTGGTGGTGATATCTGTCTGTGTTGACACTTGTGCATCAATGAACTTGAAACAGGCTACAAGAGCAAGATACAACCATAAATTGCTAAAAATGAGCCTCATGATGCTCACACTACTGCCTGAAAAGTCAGCAATCTCAGTCTTTGTGCAAAACAAAATTGCTCAGGTGAGCTGATGATGTCTTTGGAGATCCACTTTTGGAATGTGATAGAAACTGTAGGAAACTTCCAACACCTGACTATATATTAAAGGAAAGCATCTGGCAGAAGACATTCATTGTTTTGTTTTTTTCTTGTTCTCTGTGTGCTTGGTGTTCTGATGAAGTAATCTTGCGTGAATCTGGGGCGGAAAGTTTTGTTCTTCCTTTTTCTTCTCTGTCTCCGTTTCAGTGTAGCACGAGCGAATCTAGCTTTGAAATAAACATGTGACACAGTAAAAAAGACACCGGAAGAAAAAGACAGTTAGTCACAATATGATCACTCCTTTTTGGGGGTTTGAACTAAAATAAATCTAAATAATATCAAATATATTTTAAAAAGTTCTAAATTTTGGGGTTCATAGGATTTTTTTTTTAATGCTTTTAATATAAGTATCTTGTCCACTAAAAGGCTGCAAAAAAAAGTTATATCAGAACTGTTATATAACAGAATCAAAACTGTTATATCAGATTGAAATAACTTTTGTTCTATTCTAATCTTTTTTTAAATGTAATTTATTCCTGTGAACAAAGCTGACTTTTCATTATCATTACTCCAGTCTTCAGTGTCACATAATCCTTTAGTAATCACAATAATCACCAAAGTGACTTTCTTGGGAATTGAGCCCCATGACATTGGCGTTGCTAGCGACATGCTCTATCTATCAGATGAACTGCACTTCATTTGACGGGCAGAATAGAGGTACGTTCACAGGTTATTTCAGTGCACATATACCACAGTTACTAGATGTGATTTGAGTGTCATGTGTTGATAATGTTTCTCCAAGCTGCATGTAGTGATTTATTTTCGTTCTTTTTATGTGGTCTCCCTGTTCTCGAGCATCTTATAACACCACAGCCACAAACTAGTTACAATTTGTCTCCCGTTTGATCCCTTATGAATAAGTGCAATTGCCACTTACCTTCATGCCTCTGGGTTAAGTCACTGCAAGCTCCAACCACCAAGACCAAACTGCACATGTGAAAATCTACACACTCTCGCATGCAATGTACACCTATATCCTGTTCATTTCTCTTCCTCTCTCACTCCTACATGCCCTCTTTCATTTCTCCTCCCACTGAAGATGTAATATCACTGCCAGCATCTGGACGAGAGACGCTGTTGCTGAAAGATTAAAAAACGTGCAAAAAAGTATGTGACGTGGATTATTATCTGAAGCTGAAGTAGAAAAAGAGAAGCCAGGCCCTGATGGGAAGCTGGGTGTGTTGACACTTCTGTGGGTTTTGTTGCTGGCTTGTCTGTACAACTGTTAAGTGCAATCGTGTCTGTTTTAAGTGTATATGTGCACGATGCATGTTTGTTGGGTGGAGGAGGGTATTGCAAACTAAGAGGAGTGAGAAAATCTGAGAATTTTGTGCCTAAAGTAAAGTTTGCTTAAACTATTCTGAGATGTATGTCCTGCTCTCTCAAATTTCTCAATCTAAGTTTTTTTACAAGCAGGATTTGCTAATTGAAAATCTTAGTAAAAAATGTTAATTTGAGCATTTTTACATGCACATGATATCTTTTCTTTCTGTTGCTGTTTTACTTCACAGTACTTCACAGTCCATCATTTCCTCATTCTGATTCCATTCAACACTTTTTCATAACATTGTCTCTCACTCTTTTAACCACTCATGCACAACAAACTTGCATTATCTGTTATAGATCTCTCAAAATGGTGATTCACGCCATCTCAGAATCAATATTTCAATCTTTTCAAGAGTAAGATGCACAACGAGATTTCATAATGTTTGCTCAAAACATCACTAAAAGTTGCATATTAAATATTGTGTATTTTTATTTAGGTATTTATTTATTTATTTTAATCAGGGAATGTTTTTTTATAACAGAAACATTCTGAATTTTCCAACAGTGTAACAAAAATGACTGTGGTTAAAGTTTCTGTGGTCCCTTCACTTTTCCAAGGAAGGAAAAGCACTGTATATTATTCTGTTTTATCTCACGGTTTATCTTCAGGACTTTCCTAATTAACTTATGGAAACTAATGTTGTATCAACTTAACAATTAAAGTAATCAGTCTGTGCTTCATCAAACATAAGTTATATAACGCCGGGGCGACAGCGGCTCAGTGGTTCATGTAGGCTGTCTACAAACCATTGTTGGTGGTTAAATGGGAATCCCCGGTTCCACCTGACCAATGTGTCGAGGTGTCCATAAGCAAGACGCCTAACCCCAGCTGCTCTCGACGAGCTGGATGGCGCCTTGCATGGCTGACACCGCCGTCGGTGTATGAATGAATGAGTGAGTGAGTGAATGTGAGGCAAAATGTGAAGCACTTTGGTGGCCATTGGGTCTGTGAAAGCGCTAAATAAATGCAGTCCATTTACCATTTATATAAATACATGTTTTTTTTTATAAATAATGTTTTTTATTTGTGGATCCAAGTTTTTAAGTTAATATGAGCATTAAGACTACACAATAGTGATGTAGAACAAAAGTTAGACTAACAAAGAGTGTATAAGTTTAAGTAAACTAAAAAAAGTTATGTTACTTCTATACACCAAATGGATGAAACTTCACAGAAGAAAACACAACTTTAACAACAAAATAATGTAACATTACATAGAGCTAAGACATCTATTAATTCTAAACAACATAATATTTATGCTGTCATGATGTCCCCATGTTTTGACCAAAAAAATCACAAATTGTTCAAGTGCATCATCAGTGATCAAACTAAACATGCTCAGCTGCCTGTTATTTGGACCTAATGCTGCTTCCCACTTCTGATGTTGTAATTACAAGTTCATCGTTTTCAAGTGTTTTGTTGTGGAAAGAATTGGACGGCAGGTAAATTTTTGCCTATTTCTTAGGAAAATCTTATTTAAGCCAAAATGCATTGAAGATATTTAATCAATATCCACTGGATTTGGAATAAAATGTAGCCGCCCGTTTGTTGAATATTACTCTTCCAATTTGATTCACCAGATAGTCAGCTTATTGACGAGTGTAATTTCAGTCAAATACATCCTATTTGTATTTTGTAAAAATGCATACAATGCATTACGTAAATATACACAGCTGTAGATGTTATATACATCTACACAGCTGTTGATGTTTATGTATAATGAATAAAAATGAACAGTCATATACAGTTCTCACTTTTGGCTTTTTTATGGGTCACCCAACTTGGAAACTTCAGACTTTCCCTGTAATAAATGTGACTTTAAAAGCCTGTTCATGTCCAATTTCTGAATTGGAAACTCATACGACAATTCCAATATCTCATAAGTTTGTGTTCTATATTTGTAGTTCCCTGACAAAATGGACGTTTGATCAAATAAAATAAAATTTGAAAATAATTTTTTTTTACAGTGTTCAGCTGAGCACAAAATAAGGTCCATGTTTGATCACAAACATAACATCTTATTTACTTGTTCAAATAAAGTTTCCATCACAATCTCCTTGTGTTTTTGGCAGAAGCCTGTACCATCTGTTTCTGGTGGTGTCTTTCAAAAGTTGATAACTACGTGTCAGTGTCCGGCACCCTCTCCTCCTTAATGCGTCTGTTTGCGTACCAGAACTCTGTTATGTCATCCACAGTCACTTTAGGCTGAATCCACAGCCCATTCTCCTTCCTATCCTGTTCCTGTCCTCTTCTCTTCATCCTCTCCTGCCTCTTTCTGTCTTTCTGCTTTCTGTCCGCCTCCATTGTGGATCCATTGACATACCAGAACTCCACTCTCTCCTGCACCGATGCTTTGGGGTCGGCCCAAAGGCTCTCTTTCTCGCACGTCTGGCCTCCCTTCTCCCTCTGCTTCCTCTTCTTTTTAGAGACAGACAGACGCACCCACAGGAAGATGGTTATTCCTAGGAATATGGTAGCAATCATTGCTAAAGTCCACAATGTGATGAAGCACATCAGTGTGAATTGACGAGATTTGGGGTTTGGGTTCAAACATTTATGCCAAGCTTTGCTTTCTGTGTCAGTTTTGTTTGTGGCATCGGTTAGGACACCTGTTATGATAGAGTTGTTGTTATAGGTGGTGGTACCACCGGGTGTGTCTGTTCCTGTAATGTTTTCTCTTCCTGTGTGTGCAGTAGAGTTTGTGAAACTGTTTATATGCTGCTGTGTCATTGAGTGATTTACACCACCTATCGAGGTGTGATATTCAGGTCCATCTGTAACCGTTGGGTCTCGTGCTGTTGAGGAAGCCGGTGTGATCATGGGAATGTCTGTGCTTTGTGATGTTGACCAATCGTTTCTCGCTGTTGCCGTACTTTCACCAATTGTATCTGCTGTTGTGTTGTAAGGTTCCTCTCTGTGTTCACTTGTGATGCTGTAACTTCCCTCAGTGCTCAGAGTTCCTCTCGACTCATTCGTATTAGCAAATGTGGCCTGGGTGGAGTTCGTTTCATAATTTCCTTCATCTGCTTTTGTTCTGTCACCCTCTTTCTCTGTCCGGTCTTTCCAGGGAACTGTTGAGACACTGCTGAGCAGGTCTGATAAGGTGTCTACAGTCTGAACTGTTCGTCCGTCATCAGTGTAACTCGCACTTGACATTGTTACTGTTTCATTATTTTGAGGCGTCACTCTTGCAAAGTTAGTGGAAACTGTTGTATGACTTGTATTTGTGTGGCTCATTGCAACACTGCTAGCATTGCTAATGCCTATGCCATCATCCATCATGCCTTGAGATGGAGTACTGCTGTTGTATTGATGCAGGGATGTTGTTTCCTGTGTGGACGCCACATTTGGGGTTGTATTTGGCTGTGTATGCACTTCACTGGGTAAATTTGTTGTGCTTTCCTGTGCTTTTGTGGTCAGAGGCGAGAAAGTTGTTGTATGTATTAGGATCTTGGGTTCTTGTCTTGATTTTGTTGTTGCTTGCGTTACTTGGGTGGTTTCAGTGCTGTCAGTTATGGTGTTTGTTGGCAGTGTGTTGAAATAAAGAGCTGAGGCGATGAGGAAGTGAGTGAACCACACTGTGATGGACAGTAAAGTCATCTCCATTGTGACTTCTGTAAAAGATCAAGACGATATGAGTTCAGCCATAATGGGAAAACATTTGAAAATAAAATGAATTCACTTACAATAAAGTTCAGTGCATTATACATTAGTACCATGAACTTACAATGAACATTGGTTTAAATGTTTGTAGTTAACAAATATGAATATCATTTTATCATGCTGATTTGGTGCTCAAGAAACATTTCTTATTACCAATGTTGAAAACAGTTGCTGCTTAATATTTTTGGTGAAATATATTTTCTTCAGGATTCTTTAATGAATAGAAAGTTGAAATAACGGCATTTATTTAAAATAGAAATCTTCGGCAACGTTATAAATGTTTTTACTTTTACTTTTGATCAATTTAATGCATCCTTGATGAAAAAAAGTCCTTAATTAATATCTGACCCCAACATTTTTAACAGTAGTATGAGTATGCATATATATATTAATAAATAGAAGATAGTATTGTTAGTTAGTTAGTTAGTTATTCATAAGTTGGACCTTATTTTAAAGTGTTACCACATAATTAACACTGTTAATTAATTTACTTATTTTTGTAATCACTATAAAAAAATTATTAAATATACTGCCTCCGCAGTATATTGAATTATTTTTAATTAAATATACTTTAATTTAATTAAATATACATAAATGTAAGTATTAAATATACTTACCCAAAAAACAACACACACCAAATTCTATTGGTTTTAGGTTTTGTTAGATCAGCATGTTGGTGTGCCAGTCAGAGCAAAAATAAGTCGTGTTTCCCAGCAATCTAAACTCCGTCAACTTTGTAATGTTTGAAATGTTGCCATTTTTCCCTGTGAATTTCTAATACTGATAGCTACTGCCAAAAAACACAGTTAATTTGATTCTATTTGACTTGCCTGACTATAAACACTCCAGGCCTACAACAAACACACAACGTCACGAAGCAGCATAAAATCCACACTGCGCATTTGTATACACTAAAAACAGATGAGAAATCGAAAGCAAGATATGTCTGTATTACTTCTCGTTTAGGTTTAATCAACTGACAGAAACAAACAAACTCTACCTGATGTTAAGAACTCATCACGTTGTCTCTTCCTGATGCACTGTGATTTCTTCGTTTGCGCAGTGGTGCCTTCTGGGATACTTCTCTCCCCTCGCTGAAACTCTTCGAAGTGACGCGAGGAAATGACAGTTTGATCACCATGCCAACAGTGGGATGAGGTGAGAGGTTGTGCTGAAGAGGATGTGGTTGAGTGGCTCCACCTCTTCCCTCCATCAGTGCTGCTGTGGAAGCAAATAAAGAGCAGATATTTGAACACATCCTGTTGACTCATATTACATTCAGATTGATCAACTGCACATCACTCTAATGAGGACGCCCACTCGTCACCACAGTACTGTTTTGATGAGATGACATAGATGTCACTAGAGTTTTGTCCTGAACACCAGTGCTTCTCAAACCTGTACGCCCCACCACTGCACATTTTGTGTGTGTGTCCCCCACCTAGCACAACTGATTCAACCCAACAGCTCATTAGTAGAGACTGCAAGACTTGAATTGGGTGTGTCCGCTGAAGGACACAAACAGAATGTGCAGTGGGAGGAACCAATATTTTTTTTTTTCTGAAAAACTAAAAATAATTGCACGTCAATATATTGATATCTAGCATTAATATATATATTAATATTACACAAAGCCAGTAATATACACACACACACACACACACACACACACACACAAAATAAACATGTTTATTGCAAGTTGATCTAAATTTAATGTAGTCTAGCCTAGACTACATTAAATTTAGATCGACTTGCAATTTAGACTGTCTAGGTCATATTTTCTTGGTAGATTTCTTTTATTTGTACATTTTCCATGGTGTTATTATGTTACATATGGCATTATACCGGCTTTCCATGATGATATCTACCTATTTTGACTAGCCTGTTCAAAGTTACAGGTGAAGTTGTTCCAAAATACAGTAGATTTGAATTGAATGCACAGCCTTTGATATACAGACATACACTACCATACAAATGTTTAGGTTCAGTAGATTTTTTTTTTTTCTCTTATTTTTACCAAGGCTTCATTCATTTTATAAAAACATAGAGTAATTATATTATGAAATATAAAATGGGTTAAAATACCAGGTGTAAAATGGGTATGTTCTCTCCCTAGTCTACTTGTGATCCCATCAACCAAACCGCATCTTAATACCATCTTAATAATCTGTTCTAGAGTCAAATATGAAGTCATCTGTCCGACAGCTAAAGCTTGGCTGAAATTGGGTCATGCAACAAGACAATGATCCCAAGGACCAAGCACTCCAGCAACTCCACAACAGAATGGCTGAAAAAGAAAAGAATCAAAGTCTTGCACTGGCCCAGTTAAAGTCCAGACCTCAACCAGAGGTACGTTAAGAGAGCTGTGCATAAACAGATGCCCACAAACCTCAATGTACAAAAGCAACATTTTAAAGAAAAGCTGACCAAAATTCCTCCACAATGATGCGAAAGACTGATACTATCATACAGAAAATGATTACTTCAAGTTATTGCTGCTAAAGGTGTTTCTACAAGAAATTAAATCATAGGGTGCACTATTTTTTTTTTTAGTTATTTTTGCTAAACCATGACACGGTGTTATACGTAATGTGTTCTATTTACCTCATTTTAAGACCTGCTTGCGACCAGATGATTTTTATTATGGCCTGATACACAAAACCATAGAATTCAAAAGGGTGTACTTTATTTTTCACATGACTGTAGATAGCTGTGTGAGATCAATATCACATCACCACTTTTTCCGTTGTCTGTGTCTCTATTAATACACATCAGTCCTGGTCATCTCTTTCTCTATATCCACTCACTATCCTCCATATCTTAATTCTACTGCACATCTACATTCAATTCTATCTGTTCCTTTTTGTCCTTTCATTGATGCCATATTTGCTGTGTCAGTGTTTAATTGAGGATTGGCTTGGATTAGCTGTTTGAGATAGCCTTAATCTGTTTGAGTCACTGAGACAGTTTATGAGAGAAGAGCAGAGGGTAATCACAGAGTGTGCCTGACAACAGATGTGTTAGTTAACCTGACAGAAACACTCGGGGAAAATTTGTCAAAGATTTCTAGATGGACAGTGAGGTTGTCAAAGAAGTAACACAGAGTGAGGAAGAAATGGAGCAGGAACTGTCCTCTGAGAGAGGCGAGGACAGTGAACTAGAGGAAGATGAACCTGAAGAGGAGGAGGAAACAACTGAAATGCAGGGCAGAGGGGATAAGAGGGATGTGGTGGACTGGAATGGGTTTATTTCAGGAGAAGGTCTTGCAGCTAAAGAGGAGGCGCTGCTGGACTGGAAGCCAGGTGACCCTGTGACCCCTCAGTATGTCCTCAGACTACCAGGATACACAGACGGTGAGGACGACGCAAACAAAGCAGCTTATTTGTGTTTTTGTTTGTTTTACTGCACAATAGTTTTCTTTTCTTAACTATTATTGGTTTTGTGTGCAGATTACCTGTGCTCCCTAGAAGACAATGTCTACAATATTAGCTTCTCACGCTTTAAAATAAGAGACCTGGAAGGTGGATCAGTCATTGTGGACATTAAGAGACACTGTCCAACAGGTAGGCCTATGTTGGGCTGTGTGATTTTTTAAAGACAAATAACTTGGCCAAGTATGATGTCTCGGATTTTGACTGAGATTGAACTGTTTATGCTAATGAGGTGCCAAACGTGTCTATTTGAATAGTTTTAAATAATGCTGATTGGCTTCACTACACCAGTCAAAAGAATGAATCTGTATTTTGACACAGATGGGGTTATTTGACTCTTAGATGGGGTTTATTTGACTCTTCTTTTTTATTGGGTTCCCATATTGCTGCAATTGTTTTTATCACCTGGACGATATTGTTCCTCTCTCACTCTGGCTGATGCAGAACCCTTGGTACATTATTACTTCACGTCTGGATTAGTGCAATGCCTTGTTTATTGGCTTACCAAAATAAGCACACTAGAAGGTTGCACTATGTCAAAAAAGTGACCTTACCTTGACCAGATGCAATACTCACATTATTCACTTCTTATTGCTTCAAGCTTTCGTTTTAAGACGCTCCTGCTAACATTTAAGGCTTAAATGTGCCTCTCTTCCTCTCTGACTTAATACCTGCCCACTGGGTCTCTTAGGTCATCTGAAATTGGCCTTTTGTGCATTCCTAAATTTGTCGACTGTCAACTTTAGGTGGACCTTGGAAGATAATTTTGTCTTACCGCTCTCAAGCCATGAAACCCACTGCCCCCTTCTCTATTCATTTTCAAGTTTCAGCTTAAAATCTGAAACTTGAAACTTGTGTGAAATGTATTTTTGATAAATTGTACTCTGTGTGTACAATTACAAAATTGTTTGTGTATTTGTGTATTGTTTCCTTTGAATGTGCATCAATGTATTCCTCTATTAAGCAATTTTTAGCTTGTGGAAAGGCACTGTGTAAATAAAACTTCTACTTCCTCTTCTTCTTCACAGAAATAAAGGATGTCATAGAGCTGGATGCAGGCCGTTTCATTCAGTATCATTTCAGTCCATCTTTTCTAAATCTCAGGAATATTGGAGCCACGTACGTCTTATTTTTAATATGATTGCTATTGGGCCTTTAGCAGATCTAAATACTGAATCAGAATCAATAACTATAAAAATAGTTTGTTTGCAATGCAGTTTCTCTCTCTTCTGAACAGACTCGAGTTTACCGTGGGTGGTAAGACGGTGAACAAATTTCGGCTGATTGAGAGGCATTACTTCAGGGATCTACTGCTGAAGACGTTTGACTTTGAGATCGGTTTCTGTATCCCACACAGCAGAAACACCTGTGAACACATCTACTGCTTACCAGACCTGGATTCACACACCAGTGAGGAACACACAAACATGATATAATGCATTTCCACACAAACTCATGGTGCGTGTGTAAATGGACAATGCCAACTATGTTCTGTTTTTTCAGTTGCGGAGATGATCAGCCACCCTTTTGAGACGCGGTCAGACAGCTTCTACTTCGCCAAAAACAAACTGATAATGCACCATAAGGCAGAGTACTCCTTCAACCAGGGGCTGGAGTTCAATGAGAACCAGAGCTAAACACTTCACAATAAGGCAATGCAAATCGCAGTATGGCTGCAGAAGATATAATATACAGATTAGCGTTGTATATTTGGTTTCATAAACTAGATAACGGCATGTCTTTGTTACTTTACTGATGTTTGTGCTGGGGTTATGTTGGTTTGCTTGCACTGTAATAATAATAAAAAAAAAAACAGTGAATCAGGAAACATGCTGGTGATTCCATGTTTTGTCAACTCTGAGAATATATATAAAGGGAAGTCCTGATGAACAGACATCTTGAGGATCCACAACATGCCTGGTTTATTTATTTATAATGCCCATTCTTCATTCTATTGCAACATAGCTCATAAACATCCTGTCAATTTTTATCACAACACAATTTTTTTCTTACCAGGGGGTCCTACACCACAGCATAATTGCAGAAATGATACCACTTTTTTAAAAAAACATATGTTTCAATTTAATTTCATTTATTGCTGGCAAAGCTGAATGTTAAGCATTATACTCCAGTCTTCAGTGTCCCATGATCCTTCAGAAATCATTCTAATATGATGTTTTATAATACATTCCTTCCTCCTCAAACATGTTTTTCACTTCTTCATGGCCTATTTTGAGTGGCATGAGGTTATTTAGACAGCAAACTGTGATCAGGGGTCACACATGCATTCATGGGGTCGAACGGATGCTCCTACTGAGATGAATGGGGGGGGGGGGCTTACTGTTCTTTCTTATACACGTATAAAAGAAATAACATCAGTAATAAAAGAGAAAGTGATTAAAAAGTGTCAACAATATTGGGATAATGAGATCAATGGGAAACTTAGATACAATGCAAAATAAAGTGGTAGAAAAGGTAGAAAAAGAGGGAGAAATAAGGGAGGAAGTTACTAGACTAAAAATGCGACATAGATGTTTGAATGAAACATTAGCCTATATTTAATATCTAAGCATCCAACGGGATTGTGTGAGAAATAGTACAGGGAAAGTTAATCTGAGGCTTAAATAAGGTTAGGATGGAAAGTGGGAGTTGGGGTTCAAACTGGAGGCGGGGAGGGTGGGGGGTAGAAATGTTAAGAAACATAGGAAGTGTTTCTGTTTCAAACTACCTGATGATGGCAGTAATGCATGAAAAAGAAGAAGAAGAAGAAGAAGAAGTGAATGGAATTGTGGGAAATGTAGTCGATAGTCATTCCCCGAAATTTCTCGCGAGGTCGACACGATGACGTCCAAATGAGCGTTACCTGTTCATTCTATCCAACGTTGCGTACATCGTTTTTATTTTTACGAAGATTATCTGATATAGAATCGCTGGGAATCCGCTAGCAGTGCCACATTTGCTCGGTCTTTGGTCTATAAAGGTTCTACTTTTGTTCTCTCCCTGAGCGGAATCACAGAGGTACGTAGCGCACACGTACCAAAAGCTTAATGGCCAGTTAGCATGCTGTACTGTAAGTGGTCCTCCTGTTAGCCCAAAGACACAGTTAGCGCGCTAAAACAACCCAAATTCTGTTATACAAGTTAACACTTGTGGTATTTAGTATGTGTAACAACATAAACAGTGCAAGTGAAAGTGAATCAGCGGCCAGCGGTGTGAAGGAAGTATTAGCAGTAAGTTACAGGAGGCCTTGGCCTGCTGTTGGTTTAAGACTGTTCTTCATCTCATGATCGCGATACAGTGTCTCTCTGTTAAAATACAATGAGCAGCCTACCTAGACAGCTTGTAGAGCATAATGTCGGATATTTGGAGCGTTTAACACGACTTTAATGCTCTCTTGGGAGGCTTATTGTGATTCATTGTCATAACTTTGAGCACGTTTCAACATTATTTTATCAATTGTGTAACTAGAACACATCACAGCACAAGTCTCTGTAAATGAACTACAAGTAACATTTTGGTTGTCTTGCTTATAGTATATATTGAAACGTACTGCTTTACTTTCCATACTCGTGTGGTTTCATGAGCCTAATTAAGATTTTTTTTCCCCGGCCATGTCTTAGACAAAGTGCTGAATCTGACGTCTTCTGTCTGTAGAAAGCCATTAAAGTTAGTTGTAAAAAAATAAAACACAAAACCCTTTGTTTAGGAAAAAATTGCTTCGGTTATAATTTGGAAAAACGTTACAAAATTTAAAATAATATTCAATATCAAACAGTAAGAATGCAGTCGTGAAAAGTAAAAAAAAAAAAAACTTTTAATATTAAATGCTGACAAAACTTAGGAATAATTTGTACAATTCATAGATTCCATTGTGTGTAAACCTTTTAACCTGAATACTCAGCATTATTTTTGCTAAGAACATGGTCTCTTTATGTATGTTGAAAAATGTCCAATGAGTAGATACATAGGAATAAAATAAAAGGTTTTACATGTCAACTTACTTTGTAAATAGAATAGAATTTGTTCCTAGAATTGTGTCAGCTGACAGAGTATGAAACTTTATCCCCACTAAAACGTTTGTTTTTTGTGATGCATTTCAGAGTGTCTGCTCCTGTTCTGGTATTATTCAATTGCTTCATGTAACCATTGCAGTTCTGCTTGGGTCTCTGAGGGTTAAATGGATAAATCAACTCAAGACTTGCTATATCAAGGCAGTGTCTTAGTTTGTTCCTTTTGTCATTTCTGTTTTTGTTGCATTGTGTTTAGTTTGTAAACAGAAACTAAAACTTAAGTTTCCTCTCTATTTAGTATTTGCATGCTTTAAGTTGTGCTACTCCTAAAAAAAATCAAGATCAATCACAATATTTTCATGGTTAAAGCTTACCATTAATCTGTTTTATATATAGTTTTTTTTAGCTATAAGCATATGTATAATTTGTGTTATGGCTTCCACAAATGCAGAAGGCGTCTCCCAGCAGCACTCATTTATATACGTTATTAATGTATCAAATGCTTGTATTCAAGGCAAAATAAAAACAAAAAGTTTTTTTTAGTTCACTGACAAGTTCTCATTTTCTCAGAGCAGAGATGTATAATGGTATCGGGCTGACCACGCCGCGAGGCAGTGGCACGAACGGCTACGTTCAGCGGAATCTCTCCAGCGTACGCGTGAAGAGGAACAGGGATGAGCGCGGAGGAGAACGGGATGAGAAAGACAGAGAGAGACTGGAGAGCCAGCTGAACAGACAACCTAATGCTGAAATCCTAGAGCATCAGAGGAAGAGACAGCTGGAGGTGAAATGTGCCGAGCTGCAGGACATGATGGAGGAGCAGGGGTAAGATGAGATCCTAATCTGAAGAGAATTTTTCATACGATTTTTTGTTTATGATTTGCACGTTGAGAATGTAGCCGGTGTATTTCCTCCCAGTGGCTTCTGAACTTTCAGTATCAAATTTAAATCAAGGAACATGTCAGTCACAACAAAAAATTAAAAAAAATTGAACTTAAACGGTAAAAGTTTCTGTACGAAATACCAAATCAGAGTATTAGAGTGATATCTGAAAGATCGTCTGACTGAAAACTCAGCTTTGCCATCACAGGAATAAATTACATTTTAAAATATATAAGAATAGTTGTTTTTAATTATAATAACATTTCACAATATTCCTGTTTTCTGCTTTTTTAACAAATAAATGTATCCTTGGTGAGCATAAGAGACTTTTCAAAAAAACATGTTTTTGTCATGATCATTCTTAAAGAGCAAAGAGATCTTAAGAGTGACCTCTGACCAGTTCGTCTTATGTGGCAGGTATTCTGCTGAGGAGATCGAAGAGAAAGTCAATACCTTTCGTTTGATGCTACAAGAAAGAGAAGAACCTGCACCTCTTCCAACAGAGAAACCAGTGTGAGTATTACTTCGGACCATTCAAATGGACATTTCGATTTTTATTTTGGGCTTTTTCTGTGCACTGCTACTTGTTTTTTCATCCATATTTTGGACTCTTTAACAGTGTGACTGAGACGCATGCTCTGGCAGCTGCTAACCAGCAAAAAAATGACCGTTTGAGAGAAGCGTTCGGTATTAGCTCTGACTACGTTGATGGCTCATCCTTTCATCCTGACCGGAAGGAGCGAGAGAAGGAAAAGAGGGAGCAGGAGAGGCTGGAAAGAGAGAAACAGCAGCAGAAGTACCAGTGAGTACTTTATCTTTTGAGATAAAATAGCTTGATGTTCTATGAAGATGCACTTTAACTTTAGACGTCAAAGCCTAAGAATCTTAAGTACTTACTGTTCTGTATGTTTCTCACCATTTTCTTTCAGGATTGTTGAGTCTGATGATTCAGATTCATCTACTGAGCGAAAAAAGAGCCGGAAGAAGAAGAAAAAGAAAATCAAAGGCAGAGATAGGTAAACTGGAGAATGAAGGAGGAATTTGGAATGCTTAACATAAGTTATGAAGTGAATAATTATGAATCATTTTTCACTCTTAGCTCTGAGAGCCCCTCACCTTCCCCTCGGCGAGAGAAGAAAAAGGACAAGAGGAAGAAAAAGAAAAGGTTTCATTTAATGCTTTTAATTTAGTTCCCTTACAGTATGCTGTTAATTATTCTTCTGTTGCCCTCTAGGCAAGAAGAAATTGGCTCAAATTAATTAATACACCTATGTTTATTTTATGGGATTATTTAATTGAGTCAGTATGAAATATTAAAAATTAATTTCAGATTTTATATTAAATATATGAATGTGGGAAACTGTTCTCAAGTCTTAATTTGCTGCACGTTATTCATAAATTAGCCAGGAGAAGGTTTTTGTGGTAATAATACAAACATACTGTAATATATTTTTTTTATAAATATTTGTAGACCTGGATACATTTATTTTGAGATGTGATTTATTTTTACATGTCAATTATAGCTTATAGGAATAAAATGTTTATGATTTATGTTCAGTGACAAATTTTCAATGTTAGTTAAATAAAGGTGGTGACACGGCTTACCCACTGACACATCTTGCCCCACTCTCCCCTAACACCATGTCTACACCAGACGTGAGCGACGCAACTAAAGCAAATAGTATCTGTTATAATCATTTGAGATATTTCCTACACTGGACACAGCGCAACTTTACACAACAAATTCTAATGCCTAGTCTGTTTTTGACATACTCCAAGCACTTAAGCTACATCTGAACACAGAGCAAATGGATTTAATATGGTCGCTTTGTCGCGTCCGGTGTGGACACGGTACAATTTTATTTTTATTGCTCAAATAACAAAAATCTTTGCTTTTAGGGAG